TGGCTTCTTCATTTCAAATCCTTGGACCTCAGTCCAATCCACCAAAGCTGTGGGAGCCCTCTGCTCGAGCTTCGCTTCCAGCTCCTTAATTCTCTATTCCCACTTTACCTCCTTTGCCTAGAAGGAAGCCTGTTGAGCCTGCAGGTAGGCCCTCAGAGCCTCGTTGACCTTGTCGAGGGTCTGGTTCACATGCCTGATTGCCTCATTGCCATCCCAAGCCTTTTCCAGCTCCACCTTCATTGCGTCAAACTCGCGATCCTGTCTCTCCTGGTTCTCTTTCAGATCCCTAGTCTCCTGCTCCCATTCCATCCTCTGACCATAGGCCTTCTGAGCCACCTTGGTCAACCTCTCTCCAGTCTTCTGATCTGATGCTCGTGCGGCTGCAAATCCTTCCTTCATTACTTCCTTCAACGTGAGCAAGTCTGCGAAGACCAACTTCACCCCCATCTCTTGCTGAGGTCCCTCTGGTCCTCTCGCAGCTCTCATCAACCTATCAAAGTTTTCCCACGCTTCAGAGAGTAGAAAAGGGTCTTCTTCCTGCTGGCTGCTTACACTCTTTCCCTTTTTGTCCTTAAAGTCCACTGGCCGCTGTCCTTGCTCCACTCTCCTGTAGAGTTCCTCTAGGTTCTTCCTCCTGACTTCTGCTCTGATCTCCCGTTCTCTGGCGGCCCTTTCTTGTCTGTCCAACTCCTTTTCTCTCTCAGCCTGGTCCTCATTCATCCTATGTTCTGTCAGCTCATGGGGTGCCTCCTGTCTTACTTCTGCCGTAGACTGATCCTCTGGCCTCTGAATAGACTGAGGAGGAGCCTCAGGCACCTCTGACTCTCTCCTCCTCTGACTCCTCTCAGTTGGCAGCTCCCTTCTCCTCTCACCCTCCTGAGATCTGGACGAGGCACCTCTCTCGAAGGTCCTTCTACCCTCATCCTCTGGTTCCTATCTTTTCATTTTCAGACTCCTCCTTTCCTCTGCCTGGCGCGCTGGAGTGTAGTAGCCCCTCAACAATCACCTGCAATCCCCCAAGTGCACAGCCCTCTCCACAACGCTCTTGACAAACTGTCTGATGGACCTCCTTACGAACTGGATGAATCCTGTCATCCTTCCCTCTGGTGCGATGTTTTGCTCATCTGCAAAATGCTCGTATGCCCACAGGAACTCATCCATGTTCGTCCTATCAAATCGGATCGGTACTCCATCTCTCCCCACGGGTGATGGGTGTAGTCCCTCCATTCTCCTCTCGAACTCTGTCCAGGTCGCTGACTCCTGCACGTACTTGGCAATGGGCTCAGCCCATTCGCCCTCTTCACGTACCTCTCGCAACATCCTCGCTCCATCCTATCCAAACTCGCTCGCGTGTCGTTGGAACTCGATCAGAAATAGTTCGACGTTTCCTCCTGTGAAGATGGGTAGCCTGTCTTCTCTTCTGACCCATGTCTGCACTCTCTGTCTGGCTGTCCCCTGAGGGGGTTCCACTGGCCCTGCCCCTCCCTTCCCTCTTGGCATG